GTCGACACGGTCGAGGCACTTAGGGGTCGGGCAGTGGGAATCTCCTTTTCCTCGGCTGCCTTGGTCTTGGCCTTCTTCTTCCCGCCGAGGGAGATCTTCGTGGGCGGGGGAAGGGCGGTGTCTTCATCGCCGAATTCTGCCATGGCTGCAATAGAAAAGCAAAGTTAGTTTGATCGAAAAAAAATGAAGCTAGGTCGGGAGGAACGGCTCGAGATGAACCTTTCTTCTTCCGTTTTGACGGCTTGGCAACCGTCACGCCCATCGGAACGGGCAGGTATTTCTCCGGCAGCTCGTACGTGGGGGGCGGGAGCTTGGCGGCTGCGAGACTTTCAGCCGTCCGGAAGATTGTGTATTCGTGCACCTCGCTCGAAATCCGGCTGACCGTGTCCCTCAGCGCTTTCGTCTCGACCGGCACCACTTGCTTTCTGAAGTGGCTGCTCCAAGCGCGGTCGACCGGGAGGATCCAGGGGTCGTATTTGATGGAGAAAATTCTGTTCTTCCACCCCTTGTTGTTCCCGGGCAGGCCTTTGATGGAGCACATATCTGCTCGGGACTGCAGCATCAGGAACCCACCCCCGTAGCGGTCCGGGAGAACCTTGATCTGATAGATGAAGTTGAACAACTCCATCGTGCACTCGGCCTCGTGCCGAGTGCATATCTGCGGGAAGCAGGCGAGGATCCGATGTGCGTTCGGGCAGATCTGGGCTGGGGCGACCCGGTAATAAGCCAAGAAGGCGTTCAGAAGGGGGGTGAAGGGAATGGCGATCGGGGCCATCAGGGAGTCGTAGTGCATCCCGATCCACTTGCCCCGATGCCTGTCTATCACGTTTCTCAGCTGCCGGCTCGTGTCGAATTCTACCCGCCCCCGGAGTATTTCAGCAATCCGAGCTGCTTCGCCTTTGGTCAGCAGGCTCATCTCTTGCTCGACACTCTCGCTGTTCAAGAATTCGAGCTCGACGGCTGGTGTGGCCGGCCCGGCCGGGTCTTCTTCGGTCTGCTCGGGGGTATTTTCTCGATCACCCCCTCGAGGAGCAGCTTCCGGGTGGTCCCCAACCACCCGGGTAGGCGTTTCCCTAACGCCCTCGGTCGGAGAACCCCGCCTGCTTGACGTGGTTCTCTCTTCCTCTTCTTCACTGGAGCTCCCCGACCCGCTGGAGCTAGAGCTCGACGTCCCGGAGGAGCTTGAGGTGCTGTTATGCTCGACGGCCCGATCGGGGGCTGGCGTTGCTCGGGGGCTGGCTTCGGGAGTGTAGGACATAATGTCCACTTCCTCGTCGCTGATACGTTCGACCTCCTCGTCATAGCCCGCGATCGAGGCGTTTTGACTATCCGAGTCCGACATAATTCTACCTAAAGGTCGGTCGGGAGTTAGTGCAGGGTTCGGGGAGTTAGCTCGAAGTTAGTGCTATCCTACTTCTATGCTAAGTAAAGAGTAAACAAAGAGCTAAGAGCTTACCGAGTGAGGAAGCTTGGAGGAAGATCTGAAGTTTTGCTTTGCTTGATCGCCTTGCTGAGATGCTCTGCTCGGGATTCTTAGAGGATACCGACTGATGCGAAAGAGTGAGGAAAGTTCAAATGAGGGCCTCAACAGCCTATTTATAGGAGGGCATTTAGGCGGGAAATGGGCCAACTTGCCTGACACGACCCGCGCTGAATCCGAGGCGACGGATGGGATCGCCGAGGCCGGCAGAGGCCGACACGTGGCTTAGGAGGGAATGACAGCTGGCCGGTCGGTCTAATGCCTGACGGTTGGGCTTCTTCACCCCGTCCCGTTTTTTCCCGACTGATCAAAAAGGCCCGGGCTGGGGGGCTCTTGGTAGGGAATATCCCGACCGACATAGCTTCACCACGACCGAGGTGTCTTTGTCTCTTTCTCCTTGTCTTTGCAGGTAACAGGTCGGGCTCCACGAGAAGAACCCGGTCGTAGACCGACCGGAATTGCCCGAGCGACGGTGTCGACCACCGAGCGGTGGCCCTTGGACGAAAGAGCTAACGAAGGACACGTGGCGGCTCTTCACATCGGCAGGCAGGGCACCCGGGAGGATGACACGTGGTGGCTACGTGGAAGACATGCCGAGCGGCTGGAATCTTGTCCCCGGCATAGCGGCTATAAATACCCACAGTAGCTACAGTGTAAGGGACCTTTGGACGATCGATAGGCTGTTATTAGAGAGTCCCGATCGCACTCAGTCGGTACTCAGAGCAACCAAGTAGATTGTACTTAGGGCCTTTACCGTGATCAATAAAGATTTTACTTGCTTTAATTGGTCCCGTGTATTTTATATTGCTTACGTAAAATTAGCAGTATCAACATGTTTTAATTTTCTAAACTAAAGCACCATGAGCGGTTAAAAACTCTTTTATATATGATTGACTCACAAATGCTATTTTATAAGATTTACCTAACATTATTTTCTTCAAACAATAGCTCTACACACTAATTAAAATTCTAAAATAGTAATATTCTACCTTAAGACAGGCCAATTCTTTGATGAGAGACGCAAGAGAAAACTCACATGAAAGCAAGAGATCCTGATTCGCCATTCCTAAAAGGAACATTTAAAAAAAAAAAAAACTTTTAATCCTTTTGAGTTATGAGCCTCTTTATTGGAATGGGAAGTCAATAACACTATCTTGTTACATGCACATCTACACAAAGTTGGAAATGAAAGGGGAGATAGAGACAGTGACAGTGACAAATAGAGAGAGAGAGTAAAGTGGGCAGACTAAAACTATAATGCAACAAAAAAGTACACAATATTACAAAAGATTAAGGATTAAAAATTTATGGCAAACTCCCAGTGACTTAAAAGAGAATCTCCAATAGTTATAATTTTTGAAAAATTTTCACAGGTATGAATAAGAAAAAAAAATGAAAGTAAAGGACAAAAAAAAAAGAAAAAAAAATCTGAAAAACAATATATATATATATATATATATATATATATATATATATATATATTAACGCGTCTAGTGGGCGCGTGGAGTGCATATGTCTGGTTGGGCGCGCCTCACGCACACCTAAGAACTTTTTTGCTTTTTTGGTGGATCCCACTTTTCGAACAAAAACTAAAGATCTCCTACAACAATTCATTTTCTTTTCTCTTTTTCCTCTCTTATCCACATAAGCATTAACTCTGTAAAAATCAATAACAATTTCCATATTGGAAATGCTCTAAAAATTTATGACAAACTCCCGAAACAAGTGACCTAATGGTAACACATAATTATTGTATTTAAATAATCACAAATTTAATTATTATCAATACTCTTTTGATCGAATCTGTTGTACATAATTTTTATAATTCAATTTACATCTTTATAGTTTGCTAAGTTTACCATATGCACACTTTTAATTAATAGATGTAGGTTTTTTTTTTTTTAAATAATAATTGCAAAGGTTAAAAGTTAAAACCATTTATTTAGAGCATATTAAATACAAGTCATTTCACCATCCTGTCATCCCAGTACAGCAAATTGCCAAATTTCATGCTAGGCCCCCTCTTTTTTTGGAGAAAAAAGAAAAAAGAAAACGAAAAAGCTTGTGGAGCAAGGTGAGCATACTGCATACCTATTTGGTAGGTGGTGGATTGTTTTAGGGTTAGGACGAGGGGAAGTTTGGTACTAATCTCTTCCTTTTTTTTTTTTTTTTTTTTTTTAAATTTTATTTTTTAATTTTTAATTTTATTTTATAATCCAAGTTTTTTAATTTCATCATATTATATTCTAATTGTTCTTGAAAAAAAAACTGTTTCAATTTAATTTCGAGTGTCAACATAAAAATGAACTAGACACTTTATACACAATGAGCCAAACTCAACCCAAGACCCAGGATGCTTATAATGAGTTGTTATACCATGGTCATGGACCAGGGTTCACCTTGCAAGGTGGACCCTGGTCTTAAACAACGTATAAATTGTATATTTTTAGTATTAAAATTCTAAACTTTTAAAATATAAATTGTGTTTCTAAGTTAACACACATAACAAATGTAGAAGGGAATTTGTGAATGCAATACAGGGTCATCAAATCCTAATATGTTAATATTGTGTGACGATAGTATTTGAAAGGAACTTGTGAATACAAAACAAGGTAATCAATTACATATATTGACATTGTATGTTCGTAATATACAAATTGTGAATATTTAAAAGGTATAGTTTAAATCCATAACCTACCGCTGAAAGCAAGTTTTAAATGTAACTTCTAAATCATTGAACCATCGAGGATCATTGGCCTCAGTTTTAACTATTATAGAATAATCGGTGTCCAAGGGGCCAAGGCCACATGCCCTAATATTCCTGAGCGCACTACGCTATGTCGAAAAGCATCAGTAGGTCAATCACGACCTAAGTAGGTCGGCGTGCAAGTGTTGCGATGCTGCTTACGAGTGTGGCCCGTAGAGAAGCTCGGTAGGCAAACTAAGGTCGGGAAGGTGCAAGCTTAGGTCGGTTGCGGTCGGGTCGGGCTCATCCCGCATACATGGGGCGCCACTATCGAACCACCATATAGGTACGGTGTTCGGGGAATAATCCCCATCATGTTAGTTTAGGGATTCATTGTAGTTTTTAAGGTTTAGTGACCTAATTGCATTATGATGTACAGTTTGATAATCTATTTGACCGTTATTCTTAGAGTTTAATATACATACACCAAATACCCTTAATTTTAATTTAGCTTGACATAATTGATTGTAAATATTTCGCCCCTTTACCTAATTAACTACAACCACTTCCCATTAATCCTCACAAAATATTCCCCCCCAAAAAAAAAGGTTTAGGTTAAATTCATTATATTTATATTTTCCAAAGTTATTATTGTTATGGATCTATATAGTTCTATAATACATAGCAATATAGCAGTACTTGGTTGTTGATAAAAATATCGGAGGAGTTTAAGGCCAGTAAACTACCGGCACGTGTCATGCCGTGATTGGCGAGAGCATCAAACGAAAGTGGTTTGACTTTCTTAACTCGTAAAGCACATGTATGACAGCTCCGGAAACTGCCGATTTCGGAAACCTCTGCCCGACCGGTGAGAGCTTTCATCTTTAATTGCCGTTTTTATAACTCTAATCTCTCCTTTAATTACCTCGTAATTTTTTGATTATGTCGGAAATTTTTTTTTTCTTAGGCTCTGAAAAAGTAGAGTGAATTAGCACCCAAATCAAAGGACTTTGCTAGCTTGCTGTCCCTCAGTTCTCTCTCTAGTTTCTCCTCTCTCTCTCTCTCTAGATTTTCGAGCAGCCCAAAACCGGTGGGTTCTTGAAAAACTTCGCCGGAAGATCAAGAACGGGTCCGGGGTTCCGGCGACTGAGAAGTTCTATAGAAGCGGTAGGGATAACTGGACTTTCGGTGCCTTGGAATTTTAGCTGAATCTCACTTTTGCTAGAAACCCATTTGGGTAAAGCTGGAAATTTTCGGACTTGTTTTTTTCCGACGGTGTTAAGCTGAGCTGAACCGCCGGGGAATGTTTTCCGGTGACTGGTAATTTTGTTCTCCATAGCTGATTACGAAACAGGGTTTTGCTAAGTAGCTTGGTTTAGTATCTGGGTTGCGGTCAGAACTTGATCGGAGCTGGTTGCGAGCGCAGAAAGCTAGCTGCAATCGGAACCCTAGCCGGAAAGTTCATATCTTCAACTTTGGCCAACGATATGCGTATGATTTTCCCCTTTTAGCCGCTACAAATTAAAGAACCACAAACTACTCCATAGATATGCGGACTGACGCCGATAAGAACGACTCCCCCGGGTCCGGCGAAGCCAGCGTTTCTTCCTCCGAGAACCAAGCAGCGCCGCCGCCGAAAGCAACCAGCAAGAAAAAACGAAATCTTCCCGGAATGCCAGGTAACATATATAGGTTGGAACCAGAAAACAAAAAAAAAAAAATCTTAATTTAAGCAAAAAAAAAGAGGAAAAATGAAAAGTTGTTTTTGTGATTTTCGATCTTCCAGATCCTGATGCGGAGGTTATTGCGTTATCGCCTAAGACTCTGTTAGCTACGAACAGATTTGTGTGCGAAATCTGCAACAAAGGGTTTCAGAGAGACCAGAATTTGCAGCTTCACAGAAGGGGTCACAATCTGCCATGGAAGCTAAGGCAAAGGTCGAGCACGGAGGTGAAGAAACGAGTGTATGTGTGCCCGGAGCCGACATGCGTGCATCATCATCCTTCAAGAGCTTTGGGCGATCTCACCGGAATCAAGAAACATTTCTGCCGGAAACACGGCGAGAAGAAATGGAAATGCGACAAGTGCTCCAAGAAGTATGCGGTTCAGTCTGATTTAAAGGCTCATTCCAAAATCTGTGGCACCAAAGAGTATAGATGTGATTGTGGCACTCTTTTCTCAAGGCAAATCCTTCATTCTCCTTCCCAATTACTCTTTTTTTTTCCCCCCTCAAAAGTAAAATTCTTTGCTATAATGGTTTTCTTGTTCATTTCCAGGCGTGATAGCTTCATTACACACAGGGCCTTTTGTGATGTATTAGCAGAAGAGAGTGCTAAAGCTCAAGATGAAGTTATGGCTCCAAGTTGTGAAGAGGAGCCTAAGCCTGCATCACCGCCGCCACCGCCACAGTCCCCACCGGCCCAACAACCTTCACCGCCACCGCCACCGCCACCACCAGTTGTTCCTCCGGCCACCACCATCATACCCTCTGTTCCAACTGTCAAAACTCCAGGTACTTTCTGAGTTAAAGTTCGGATTTTTGCTGTCTAAGTTTTGTAATTTTCCCCATTTTTACTAGCTAATTGTTCATATGGATATTGATCTTGAAGTTTATGTACCATAAACTGTATATTCTATACATCTAATATGATAATATCCAATTCTTGTTCTTTTGTGTTCACTTGTTAGACAAACTGACTAGGGCAGTAATCAAGAATTAAATGCAAGAAATAGGGTTTTAAGTAAAGAGAGCAGAGATCTGAATGACAAATTTAAAGTGGAAACTCAATGGATGAAGCCTTTTGGTAAAGCAACAAGTTTTAGATCTTATTGAGCAAAGATAGGTGGAAGTGGAAAAGAGGGTCTATCAGTGATTCTCCTTTACAGCATATAAAGTTCTTTAATGAGAAAAGATGATAAACTCTCTTTGCTTCTTTATTTAATCCTCGCTAATTATGCAGAGTTGCCGGGGAGTACCAATCCAAATCCAAACCCAAACCCAAGTGGATCGATGCCTAAACAAGTAGTAGAAGAAACGACTGTGATAACGAGCTTAACTGGGAGCTGTAGCAGTAGTAGCAGCTCGAGCAGTAAAGTGAGTGGCAGTGTATTCGCGAGCTTGTTTGCTTCAACGACTGCCCCGGGGAGTTTGCAACCTCAAACGTCTGGATTTCCCGACTTATTTCGACCCATGGCTGCAGAGAGGGTGCCCGAAATAGGCCCCCCTTTGTCTACCGAACCGATATCTCTCTGCCTTGCCATGAGCCACGGTTCTTCGATTTTCGGTCAAGAACGAAGGCAGTATGCTCCAGCGCCCCAACCCGCTATGTCTGCAACAGCATTGCTACAAAAGGCTGCTCAGATGGGTGCAGCCTCGTCAAATTCGTCGTTGTTGAGGGGGCTCGATATTATGTCCTCTACAACTTCGTCTTCTAACCCCGACCACGAGTTCAGAGGGAGGAGGCAACTTATCGACACAGATGGGGCTTCGTTGGCAGCAGGCCTCGGGCTTGGACTCCCATGCGACGGGGGTTCTGGTCTAAAAGAACTCATGCTCGGAACCCCATCCGTTTTTGGTCCCAAGTATCCCACTCTCGACCTTCTCGGGTTAGGAATGGCGGTTAATGGCACCCCAACATCCGGTTTATCTGCTCTAATGACTTCGATCGGTGGAAATCTCGACATGGCTGCTGCAGCAGGGTCATTCGGGAGTAGCGATTTCACTGGCAAGGACACCGGGAGAAGCTCGTAGTTTTGGTCAAGACGGGTTGTGTACATTACCCATTGATAGCCATTGCCAGGATAGCCCTTTTAACACTGTTCAACTATCTCTAAGAAGAGACAGATCTTTGCTGTTTTAATCTCCAAGAAGCAAAGGGTCTCTCATAAATGAAGCTGCAATTTGGCTGTGATGTACTAATCAATAAAAAACAAACTATATATGAGTGAAATTTTTGTGGGAAATGTTCACCATTTTGGATGCCACTGTAACTAGAATTGTTTTTTGTACCAGTAGAAATAGTCAAGAGTTGCAAGAAGAAGTGTCAATCTGAACTCCTGTGTTTTTTACTATATATATATATATATATATATATATATATGCACAACCGGACATTGCTGTCTTGTTGAAGACTTAAATGCAGTCCGTACTCGCATACTTTTCTTGTTTGTGTCTGCTGTCCTACCAGCTTCACATTTATTAAGGTTGCAGACTTTTGCAGAAGAGAGAAGAGGGGAGGAGAACTAGAGAAGAAGCTGCCTAATATTCATCCCGGTCTCGAGTACAATTCAACTGATTAATTAATCTAAAAAAATAAGTAATTTTATTTCGTTAACGGTTGGAGGGTCAAAATTTGGAGGGAACCCAATCAAGTTGATAAGATAGATGACTTGGTAACCACAAGGTTCCAAGTCTGTTAGAACTATCTATTAGCTTTCTCAGTTAAATTTCTTGGTTTAAACTGATTAACTATGAACAACCTAAGTTGTTTTACCTTTTTGTGATTCTTTATTGGTAAGGGTAAAAATGTGAGTTTTACCCTGAGCACATCTTTAATTTTGAATGCGGTGACAAATTTTTTTGTAAATAGAAAAAAAGGGTGCAGAGTTATGGAAACTCTAGATAAGTTAGGGAAACAGTTGAATTAGTAACCACAAAGCTCCAAGCATGTAGAAGCTGTCTATGAGTTTTCTTGATTTGAGTCAGTCAACTATTACAAATTTGAGCTGGTTTATTTCCTTGTCCTTTACCGACTAAGATAACAAGACCGACTTCATCCATAAGGGACATTCGGATAACGGTGATAAGTTTTCAAAGTCCAATTCATATCCAAGAAAGTATGAAATTAGCTTTGTTGTATGTACGACTATACTTTAGAGAATTTATAGACTGATTGACACATATTTTACGGTTTTCATTTTTCATGGAGGTTTGTCTTGTGCAATTCACGTGCCATCCAACGATGCACCACGTTAGTCCAACACTAACGTTGGGGAAACAGAATAATTTAGTGTTAAGAGGTGCAATGATTAAGAAATGGTGGTTGTTGTGTGTGGAAAAGACATTAGTTTTCTTGGTTAATTGAATCTGAGAAGGGGGGCCATTGGGGGTGGGTTTCTTAGTCAAAGTAATATCTTGTGGAGGATATACTTAAGACTTCTTCTTTAATTTTAACTAATATACTACTATTTGACTTTCATCAACTTGTAATGTACCTTTCTTGCTTATGGGGCTAAAACATCAAATGTTCATCACTTAATAATTAAGAGTTAATTCTAGTTTTAATATTTAATTATTGTTTTTTTTTTTTTTTAGTTTTTGTTTTCGAGTTTAAAATTGAATATATTTGATCATTAACCTATTATTCACAAAAACTATTAATGAGAAGTGTTTTTGTATTTTAAACACATTTTCATATCGAAAATTTTCTAAAAATGTTTCTGTTTTTTGTAATTAAAGGAAAAATGTTTTGGGTTCAATTTATAAAACAAAGTGCATTTCATGACACCTTTTAAAGGCCTAATTCAGAGAAAAAAAATGAATCTAGTGCAATAAATGTTCTATTTATAGGGCTGAAGAGGAATACATGTCGATTGTCCGGCATGCCTGCTACGTGTTTTACATGCACTAGAAATAACGTCGACGGTCTTATAAATTAATACACGTGGGTCTTGATTCCTGACATGCACATCCTCTATAATAGGAAGTGTTCCTGGTCCGAGCCTCGAGGCCAAGACCAAGCTGACATTCAATGGCGACCTCATAATACTCTCGTTAGGTCGAGTCAGGACCCTTATCAGGCCGAATCCAGTCGGGAATTATTCCTCGCACCCCCGGGACTACATAATGAGCACATACTCGACAGTCGTCCATGATATATTTCCTTGAGTCCATGAGAACCAATCTCATCCATTAAACTTCCCATGAGTGATGAGTCTATGAGAACCAACCTTCCCATAAGTACATGAGAACCAATCTCATCCATTAAAAAATAGATCTATGTATGAGATTAATTTGAGGATTAAAAACGTGCGTGTGTATATCAAGAATTATGATGTGTGCATATTAAACATGTCCCTATATTTCAAAAACACACATACTTAATATGCACACATCATAATGCTTAATATGTTGCGTTGTTCATCCTCCAATTATTCTCATCCATGACATTACAATAAAACTCTTGTTACCTTGTTAAGGAAAAATACTAAAATATATACTCCGTAGCATTAACTAAAATGGACTGATCGTAGGGTTTGTATTGTCGTTTCTCCCTCTTTCAGTGTTAACTCTTTGTGTGCGGACCTTCATTAATGTTATCATTTTAAATCCTCTAAAAAAAAAAAAAAAAAACTAAAATGGATAGGGTTTCATTCATATATACAGTGATGCCCAATCCACGACACAATAACTTGTGTAGGCCCCCTGCTTCAGACTGCCCACCAATTGGGCCCCATCTCTGCGCTCTAGGGTTGTACTCAAATATTTTCATAATAATCAACATATCCATGCATGGCAGCTGTATATTTATACCCATCATTTATAAGCCTCTTCTTATCTCATTTTTTTTCATTAAGAATTCTACAACATTTACTTCTAACTTTTACTTTCTCAAATTTATTCCTTCATATGAAGAACATTGATAAATTATTTTTTATGTAAGTCTTAGTAAATGTATTTATCTAAAAATTTTAAGTGTAAGAGTAAAAATAAAAAATAGAGAGTGAGAGTATAAACAATATTTTCCTTTCAATAATATGAAGTTTGGTTCAAAAAAATGTGAGGTTATTATGGAAAATGTGAGATTCTGAAACTTTATTTTTAGTTCATAGTTTTCATGAGAATCAAACTCTTCTCACATTCTTATGTCCTATGAGATTTCTAGGAATTTTACATTCTCTTCAAAATGTCTTTTGAATCAAATATCCATATTAGTTAAATACGGAGTATGTTTTTTTTTTAGTATTACTGATAATTTTGTTACAATGTAGTATCTACTTTTTCAAGGTACAATGAGTCAATACAGCCTCTAATGGGCTCAAACATATGACATTCCATTTAGGAGAGTCACTTTATATTATTTGTGTTAATGAAAATAATTGGAGATTGTGAGATTGTAAACTTGATTTGTAGTTTTTATATTTTTTTATTTTTAACATTCACTGGAATACAATTTCTTTTAAATTTTAAAGTTATATGAAAATTTTAATAATGGGTACATTACATGAAAGTATTTCTTGAAATATTCATAGCACCTGGCAAGACCATAGGCCCATCTAAAGCTAATGGAGTTATGCTACTGTATATGCCATTGGGCCATTTTCTCTTGTTCAGTTAAACCCCGCCACCAAAAAAAAAAAAAAAGAAATATTAATGAAGATATGGACAGGAAAGGCAGACTATCCATACTATATATCTTGGATCAGGTCCATCCACATTGTAAACCCTGATAGAGATTATGTATATGTAGTTAACATAATATATACCTTATTTGTTAATTCTATGTACATAATTTAGACCAAAATTTTTAATACGTACAATGATTCTTGATCTATTATATAATTTGCGAGTAAAGTTTAAATTCTTTCAGTTGGAAAAAGAAATCATACTGACTTCTTCGTCTAACAGGATGAAGAAGTCATGTTAATTTCTCTGTCTAATTGGGAAAAGAAATTAACTAGATTCTTAGTCTAGATAAGAACAAAGACGGTTGACAACTACACATTTTCTTTTAAAATTTATTTCACAATTTATTTCTTTGAATAAACATTGCCACATTATCTTAAATTTATTGACTAATTAAATTAATTGCATCAATTTAATAAGTTATTAATCGAATTGTATCAATTTGACAAATTTAAATATTTAATTTAATTAAAACTTGTTTATTTATAATTTAGAAGATAAATTGTTTTTCTTTTTCATAATTAAATAGTATTCCGTAAATAGTAAATGGAAATTAGAATAGGGTAGGATGGGAAAGATATTTGTAAGGGAAAGGGAGATATTCTGTTTATAGGTTTAAAAAAAAGTAGGCAGATTCTGATTAATTACTTGGCCTAGCCATTTTCATCATTCTTGTTCATTCGTTATTCTCTGGGGAGGCGGCACAGTGTGACGAAGAACTCCATGGATAAGCTTTGGAGTTTATCTCATTTTCCTCTATATTAAACAACCTATACCTACCTGAACTGAACATTTGGTTTCTACAGGATTGCGTTATCAGGTATTTTCACAATCTCTATTTCGTTACAATTTGTTTGATAACTTCAAAAGGTTTCAATCGTTAATCTCTGTATAGATTAGGCTATACCAGATTACGCTGTTCGATTTACGAATTTGTGTTGCTTTATTTTCATTTTCATGGTGAATATGTGAGCTTTCTTTGGATTTTAGGTGGTTGTGAACCCTATTATGAATTGAGAGAGTAATGCCATTTAACGTTCTGGTTTTATTGGATTTCTGGAGTTGTTAAGTTTAAGGGAAAAAGATGCCGTCTGCTTTGCTTTCAAGTCTGAACTCTTCATTCACTTTTGGCGTTCAAAAGGCTGTGAGTGCAAAACAAATTGGGAGATATAAACTAACTCAAGCTCTGCCTATAAGGAGTAATTATCTTGGGAGTTGCAGAAGCAAGAGCTTTGCCATTGGGGTGCTCCAGCATTCCAGTGCTATTCTAGGAGACTCAACTAGCCGCTTTTCTGGATATTCAACTTATCTTTGTAATCCGAGAATTATGGCTGCTTCTGGTTCTACAGCTGCCCCAGGGGATTTCGCGTTGGGTGGCTTAATCTCGAGCAGTGGGAATGTCTCAAGCTTTGCAAACCCTGCCAGTATCCATTTTGGTGATAGAAGTTGTAGGAATTGTTGGAAAACGTGCGTGAGTGTGCAGCATAAGGAAGTGAAAATGGCTCCTATAGTTCATGGTTATTTCATATTTGACATCACAGGAAGGTCTTCCAACTCAAGTCTGGTAACCAGACGAGGGTTGAAAAGCCATTCTACATCCTCATCGCCTCCTTATTCTGAAGGATCATCACACGATGAGCACCTTTCAAGTCTTGCAATTCCAGTAGAAACGTAAGTGCGCTTGTCTGTTTGTCTCTCTCTGCATATTTCAGAATCTGTTCAGCCTGCATATATACTGGCAATAGTTGTGATTGATTTTTGCAACAACTTCAAATTTAGTTTTCTTGCTTCTGTTTTTTAAATAGATGGGAATAATGAGAATTGAGAAAGCTTTCTAGTTGAGTTATGACTCTCTTCTTACAGTGTATAATTTATACGGAGTAACTTTTTCTGGTGTCTTCTCTTGCTTTTGATCATTCACACAAAATCCTTTGCTTTTTTCGTTACTAAAGAGCAAAGCAAATAACTATACATGAGTGAGAAACTGCAACATTTTTGAGTATTGTTAGTATTAGGTATTTTGTTCATAGTGGTCACAAAGAGTAATACAATCCAACTTATAAGTTTTCTACTTTTCTTACTAGTCTGTTTTCTTAATTGATTCTAGGAAGTCATTTATAGTTAGTTTCTAGAATATTTTCTTAGTGTTTTTATGTTAATTTCCTTTTTGTAACTCTCTCGGTAAAAATAGATTAGTATTACTGTAGTGATAACAATTGTAGGTTGTCTTGTAAATGTAACTCTAGAATATTATGTTATGTCTCCACGTCAATACGTCATAGGTAGGAAAACACAAAGGACTTGTGTCACAGGCTGACTGGCAAGAAAACACAAAGGAAAAAGAATGAAGAATAGTAATTGAAAAAGGAAAAGAAAACTTATGGGTTTGTTTGAGATCCAATACTCCCTTGTCCCTTAGCCCTTAGCATAAATTGTAAATAATTGTCCTTTTTATAATATGGCAGTACAGAATGGTTAATTATTTGGTAGTTTCCAAATAACTAAACTGTCTAAACTAATTAGTCTACTAAGATAACTATTTAGTAGTTTCCAAATAACTAAACTAAATAATAAGCTAAATAACTATTTTGTAGTTTCTTAATATTTAAATTATGTAATGTAATTTTAATAAAATAAGACTTCTCCAATTATAGCAACTCTCTAAATAACCATGTCCCCAGAATGTACCATACTACTCAGATTTAGCTATGATTTTCTTTGCTGTCTTATTACATTGCTTTACTTGGCTGACCAGGAAGACTCTAGATAATAGATCACTTGTGCTAGTTTCTGGATCATGCTACCTTCCTCATCCGGCTAAAGTGGAAACTGGTGGAGAGGATGCTCATTTCATTTGTGCAGATGAGCAAGCAGTCGGTGTAGCAGATGGAGTGGGTGGATGGGCAGATGTTGGCATTAATGCAGGAGATTATGCACGCGAACTAATGTATTATTCAATGGATGCTATTCTTCATGAACCCAAAGATTCCATTGATCCTGCTCGCGTGCTAGAGAAAGCACACTCAAAAACAAAAGCAAAGGGCTCCTCAACAGCCTGCATCATAGCCTTGAATAGCCAGGTTTGTTATATGCTCTAGTGCCATAAGCCTATAACTATATATTCATCTTATACTTTGCACAGTTGAAACTTTTGTTCAGAATATGTGCATCTTAGTGAGAAATAGAACTGAGAACGTATTATTTATACTGGAAAGAAAAAGGCTATTCAAACTTGCAGACTTTTGGGGCTCCTGATCTTTTAAGGCTTATTGTATATCTGGGTGGTACCCCCTTGCGACCTTTAAATAATGACTCTTTGCTTATCAAAAAAAAAGAAAAAAAAAATCTTGTGACTTTATGGAAATCATTTGCCTTAAAAAACTGATCATTTATCTGCCCTTGGTTACTCAAAACTACTACTTTTAAAATAGGGTCTTCATGCCATCAATCTTGGAGACAGTGGATTTATAGTTGTTAGGGACGGGTGCACCATCTTTGAGAGTCCGGTTCAGCAGCATGGTTTCAATTTTACATATCAACTTGAAAGTGGCAGTAGGGCTGATCTACCAAGTTCTGGTCAGGTATGTTGCTCTATTCCCCCCACATTCTGCATCCCACTATACATTCTTGCCCCGAATTAAATTGACCATTTGCAACAATTCCCATCTAGCTTATTATTTCTGCATCTAGAACTGATAAGAAACACAACTATGCCATATTTCTTCATCAATAACTGATAAACAGCACGGTTTTGTCGTTGTTGGGCCTTGGTCAGGTTTTCACTATTGCTGTTTTATCGGGAGATGTCATTGTTGCGGGAACTGATGGATTGTTTGACAACTTGTATAAAGATGAAGTAGCTGGTGTTGTTCGCGATGCAGTAAACTCTGGGTGCAACCCGGAGGCCACTGCTCAGAAAATAGCAGCTTTAGCACGGCAAAGAGCTCTGGATAGGAAACGACAAACTCCATTTGCTGATGCAGCACAAGAAGCTGGGTATCAATATTATGGTGGTAAACTAGATGACCTTACAGTTGTCGTCTCTTTTGTTACTTAGCTGAGCTTATTCTTCCTATGCTTCTCCTTTTCACTGGCTTTTTCTCTGTTAGCACTTTGTTAGATCTCTCCCTTGTCTCTGAATATAATGGCAGAAATTTTTCATGAAGAAATGACCATTTGAGCATCATTGTTTTTAATCGTTTTGGCCGTTGATTACAGTAGCAGCATTGAAGTAAGAACAAGTGCAGATATGCTTATTTAAAAACAAGTACACACCAAGATTTGCACAAGAGGGGCAATGAAGCCTTCAAGTTTTCAAGATTCTTCTTCCCCATTCTTTGCCTGGATGGTCTCCTCCCCAGCCACCGCCTCCTTCGTGTTGTTGCTGCTGCTGCATTTCTTCTTCCTGTTGCCTTGCTGCCTCTTCTCTCTTCTTTGCCTCTCTTTGCATTGCTTCCTCTTCTTTCCTAGCTTCTTCTTCTTCTGCCCATCTTCTCTCTTCCTCCTCGGCTGCCTCACGTCTTTGTTGCTCTTCTTGCTTCTTTGCCTCTCTTTGCCTTGCTTCCTCTTCTGCTCTCTCCTTTGCCTCTCTTTGCCTCTCTTCCTCTTCTTCCCTAGCTTCTTCCTCTTCCGCTCTTCTTGTCTCCTGTTTTTCCCTCTCCGCTTCCTCTTTTGCTCTTCTTGCTGCTTCCTCCTCTGCTCTTCTCGCAGCCTCTTCCTCTTCTTTCATAGCTTCTTCTTCTTCCTCTTCCTCTTCCTCTCTCTTTCTTTCCTCCTCTTGTTTTTCCCTCGCTGCTTCCTCTTTTTCTTGCTCTTCTCTTTCCTTTGCCTCTTTCTGCCTCGCTGCTTCTTCCTCTTCTGCTCTTTTCGCCTCTTGTTCTCTCTTTCTTTCCTCTTGTTTTTCCCTCTCTGCTTCCTCCTTTTCTTGCTCTTCTCTTTCCTTTGCCTCTTTCTGCCTTGCTGCTTCTTCTTTCTTAGCTTCTTCCTCTTCCGCTCTTTTCGTCTCCTCTTCCTCCCTCTTTATTTCTTCCTCTTCTTTCTTCTTCCTAGCTTCCTCTTTTGCCTTCTCAATTTCCTCTGTCATTATCCTTAATTCTTCCTCGGCACAAGATGTACAGTCCAGAATTATTGCCTCTTCCTGCTTATCCAAAACCAGATCCATTGTCTCGTTGGAAGCACCAAAAGAAACAGCTACAACATCTCTGGGCAATGTTCGTAACACAGACGCTTTGCCAGCCAGGTACTGAGGATGGTTTTTCTTTGACGACGTGCTGAATCCCATGAAAACAAACGAGTGATTGTTGAAAGCCATCTGCGCCATGGGATGAAACCTCGGCACTGCAAACACGTCACCTTCCTCCACGTAAAACCTCATGTTTTTGCAGCCTGTTTGCTTTGCATTTGCATTTGCAGCGCTGGAACAAACCACCCTCACAATTCCTGGCCCGGACAAGCAAATTCCTAACTCCGTAGCCCTCGGGTTCCAGTGTGGCCCCATCATCGAACCCTACAGCAATTATCAATTCAAAAATGAAACATTTCTAAATTCAAAAAGACTAAAACTTTGGTGTCTGTACAGCAACTGACCTTGGTTAAGTTAACCATGAAAACGCTAACGTCAAGGTCCTTCAACGCATGCAGGCGTTTCTTGGATACTATCGTGCTCCACCCGTTGCAGTTCTCGAAATCTGGATCGTGGGAGAACACATTGTACGTTTTCGTCTTCTTCTTGTTGTTTTGGCTCTGGAATATGCTACTGCTACCCAGAATAGCTTTCATGAATTCAAACACCACCACTGTAGTCTTCTTCTCATTTGAAAATCCATGAACTATCGCCCCAGGATCTGGACTGCTCACCAGTTCTTCTATAGGCTTCCCAGAAACCTGGAAACACAAAAACCTTAATTTTCACTACAAATCTGTTGTACAAGCCCGCCCTAAACCCAACTCTCAAAGAAGTAGTATAAACTTGTACTTACGCCAAACGCTGCTTCCAGGACAATCCTGTCAAAGCCAAGAATCAGATTGCGTATACTGGTGTACGGCCCAGTTGCTGCAGGTTCCTGAGAATCAGAAAAGTGCATTTTTTATCAGAAATTTTTTTTGCTTGTATCTATTGGATCGATCTATTCATGGATGAGAAGATGCATTGCATACATGCAAATCAGTTTCTGCATTGGCGAAGAGAGCATGGATTCTTAGTTTCTGGCGCTCCATCTCTAAGCTGCTTTCTATATAGAAAAGAGTTCCAGGTTTCAGCCTGTAGATATCTCCTCTTCTCAATTCAACCTTCTTTGTTTCATCGTCATCCGTCCAACTAATCCGCCCACTGCCTGTAAACACCACAACCAATCAATAACTAAGGACACAATTTACAACTCAAATCACTGCTAAAAATTATAGAATTTCCGACCACCTGAAAATAATCTTAAATCAAATCGAAAGAAAAAAGTGGTCAAAAATAACAACAAAGGTTTTTCCGGATACTAAAAGTGGTCAGAACAAACTTTCGACTTCATTTAAGATCACTTTCAAATGGTCAGAAATTTCATAATTTCGAGCAGTGAATCTAGCGATGCGAGTTTCAATTCCTAGGTCACTAAAAAAAAATTAATTAAAAAAAAAAACAGTGTTGAAGATGATCGAACCTGTGTGGACATAGAACACCATGTCTGCTTGCAGAAGAACAGGGAGGAAGACGGAGTTTGGCTCCAACGTGATGAACTCGATGTGATACCACCCGTTAGCTATTCCGTCGCTGATTCTCACGGTGGAAACCTCCCCGTTCTCCGTCTTAACCGTCGTCTTTCTTTCCCATTTCTTCACCAAGAACGGCCACCGGGTTTGGAATCCCGGCCGCCGGCCATCGCCACCCTCCTCCTCCTCCTCCGCCGCCTCTTTCAGTGCACTCAATGACACGATCAATGCCGCCACAATAAAGACAATGAAGAAGAAGACGGAGCTTTTCTTTGCCATGGCTTTCGATTTTTTTCCACAGAAAGCTAAGGAGTAGTGATGAGGTGTAGAGTGTGACGAAGAAGATGGAGATGAATTTGTAGAGGGAGAGTCGTGGTGTTGAGCTACGTGGCATTTGCATGGCGAGGGGGATGCATGCAAGTGCCACGCATGAATCACCGATTAAGCTGCCACACGTTGCCGTTTCTTTGTTTGACAGTTTCCTTTTCCCTTCTATTATATCTTTCGGCTTCGATCTAGTGCGAACTGAGGATAACAAATTATACTCTACTGTACAGTGGATCATCGAGAATGATAAATTATATCATGGATCAATATTATTGTTTGGAGGTATTCTAGTGGTAAAATAAAATTTGTCTAAGTTCATAAACAACTATAATATTGAGATTAACAAAGAGAAGAAACCATAATAATGATAGAAAGTAAAAAATTGCAATTTACGTGGTTTAGTAATGTGTTTACATTGGGTGAAACTATTCTTTATTTCATAATGAAGGTGATAGTGGGGATGTCACCCTGTATTTATAGTCATCTATCCTTAGAGTCTGACTCAATTTGTTCCAGTTTTATTCCTTATATGACTCATATTTCTAATCTTTATATGAGACAAACTCAATAATAAATCAATTTAACTTGTCATAAGTCTTAAATTAAGAAAATCAATAGATAACATTCATTGAAAAGTTGATCAGAAAATCTCGTAATCAACTTGATTGATTTTTTTTTTTTTTTTTTAGTGCATTAGATGTTTATTTTTAGATGGAATGCTATAAATAAAGTTGTAGCATAATAAAAATAAATATGTATCAAAATATAATGAATATATTAAAATAAACATGTAATACAATAAAAATAAAAATGAATTAAAAGTATACTAAAAATGATCAAATATTATAATGTAGACTTAGTCCCCATAATAATAATTGAGTGAGAAATAATTGGGCCTTTTGACCATGGTAATAGTGTAATGGGCTTCCAATGAAATTCGTCCTACGGCCTTAAATTGATAGCCTCGACAAGAAGCCCAATTGTTAACTGTGTAGGCCCAGTAACCCAAAACATTACATTTTTTTTGAGAGTACATTTTTTTAAAAAAAATAATTCATTCTTATTTCTCTGCATTCTGCAATAGTAAATTGATTGATTCGCCAAAACTTATAACATTCTTAGAGTTAATTTCAGTTTAAATGATTTTTTTTTTTTTTGAATGCCAGTTTAAATGATTTAATTATTGTATTTTTTCACTTTTAATCTTCAACTTTAAAATCAATCAAATTGGGGATCTAATTTTAAAAATGTTAGTTTTAGTCTTTCAATGATCATATCGAGTACATTGGCAGAACTAAAAGTGGTTAGTTTTTGAAAGTCATATACCAAATGTGATTAATTTGAAGGTCGAGAATGAAAATCTGAAAGACTAAACTTGAAATTAACTCAATGTCGAAACATAAGTTATTATTATCAATATAAAAGGTAGTAGTAGTATGATATGACATTCTGATTCATGGATACCTAATTTAGTACCTAACTAAGACTAAAAGTGGTTAACTTTTCAAAATTAGAAGGTACATAGAAGGGAATAATGTGTCCAGTTGTGTAAACAGATAGTTGGATTAGACATTTAACACACACACACACACACACACACACACACACACACACACACACACACATATATATATATATATATATATATATATATATATATATATATATATATATATATATGATGCTCAACACACACCTTCATGGCTTCATGTGTGTGGATCGATTACTTTGAGCATGACCTTGTGCGCTTATGCATATGATCGACTCTTATACTAAATTCAAATGTGCTATGTCGATCTCGATCAACTAAAAATATAAACTAATAATTTGATTAAATATTTAATATTTATATATATGATACTTAACATCTAGTATGATAGTATATCCTGAACACCCAATATAATAAGGCAAAACCATGAAGATAAACCATGTGTGCATAAATGGAAAGGGGGTTGGGATAAGTTGGAATATTGACACATATATAACATATGAGCACCCTTGATACAAATAGGATGGTGAAATTAATGTTCATCGGATTTGTGAACACAATTCATCATCAGTAGTACGTGTGTGATGAGTTGTGAAAGAAGAATTCACATCCACTACAACATGTTTCAAACAAATTGTGGTTTTCTTGGCATTGCTAGACATACCTTTTTGGTCATGAATGGTATTAATCAGAATCTCAAATCTATGCTTTTGTGTTGTGGAAGCTAAGTCTGCCTTCTCTTCTTTTTGCCATTTACAAACCTTCGCTCCTAAGTACTTGACTTCTCATCACATAATAATATCTACAAAACTTCACTTTGCTAGTCTTTCTTAATTAATACTTAATTATTTATTTAATTAACCATGATTGACAATTAATTTTAAAATAATAGGGAAAAAGGAATCCATCATTTGTTTTTGTTTTTTGTTTTTTCTTATTACTATTATATATTTAGCTTTGTTGAGAATCGAAGTGGGATTTAGGTAAGAACGAGCGTCTTTTAAATTATATAGATTCAAATCTCGACTCATTCAAAATTATTCATTTTATTTGTTCAACTCAAGTGAGAGTGGGGCTCAAATAAAAATTGAACACACATCTTTTAAGTTATAAGTTCGGATTTTTTAAAAACTTGTTTGGTGGTTAGGAAATTCGTTATCATGGTAGAAAATATAAATTTTGTCCACTTTGGTAGATGGTTAGAAATTTCAATCACTTTTTCGGGTGGGCAAGTGATTATATATATTTGGGTGGGCTATTCAAATTTGTTATTTCTTTTATATATAGGCGCTGTTTGGCACACCTAACTGAAAAGATAGTTGAAAGTTGAAAGCTAAAAAACTAGTAGCTAATAAGCAAACTAATTGATATTAAGTGTTTGATAAAATTAATGGTTGAATTAGCTTGATAAGTGTAAAAAGACTTAAAATGATAATCTAATATGTTATAATTTTGATTAATAAAGAGCAGATGATGTGTCATTTTTGTATATTAATAAAGATTAAAAAGGAAAATGTCAAAAAGTCAATAGCTTATTTTGAAATGCTACCCGGAGTAGTATTTTAAAAAAGCTACTATTATAAACTGTACTCCTTATGTTTTAAGCTTTACCAAACACTCTACCAAACAAAGTCGAAGAAAGAAGAGAAGAAGAGAAAACGAGAAAGAAAACAAGAAATAAGAAAGAAAGGATTTTTGAAAATATTGAGGAGTTTTGCTAATAGAAATCTAAATTTTGCCTAGAACAATGAGTTTGTGTTAGTGAAAATATTTTTCAAAAACCATGGTTATTATATTATTATTTTTAAAAATTTCAACCACTTAATAATGGAAAATGTCAACAACCACGGATTGTCGTTTTTTACCATCTTAATTTTTTGATGACCTTTTTAGGTGACTGATATTATTGATGGTGATGTTTCTAAAACTCTAGATACCAAAAATGGTTAGAAAGAATACTTGTTCACAAACTCTGATCTAATTTTCTAACCACTTAAAAATTATCAAAAAATAAAAATAAAATTAGGGGTTTATAATAGGAGTGTATGTATGAGTGGTAATAGGCCAATAATAATAATAATAACCCGCATGGCAACTCAACTGGTCATAGATGTGAAAAGTTGGAAGAATGATCAGGGATTGAGTCTCACCAGCGGTAGTGTGAGAGCTACCTCTCAAAGTGAGGTTGAGTTACCATGATTTACATCCTTCCAAACACTCTGTCGGGTTGGGGTTCAGCCTTTTGGAAGAATAATAATAATAATAATAATAATAATAATAATAATAATAATAATTATTATTATTATTATTATTATTATTATTATTATTATTATTGGGATCCTTTAAGAGCATAGGATGATAGGAAGTAACATTTTTCAGGAGTTCGTTGCCCAATTGCCGGAACATCATTCTTGATTTTCTTATAAAGTTTGTTTGATTGATTTATTTATTTTTGGGTAATATTCTAAAAGATAGAGACGTCTCACTATGCCTTTGGTCTCAACAATTTCCAATATCGTTTTCTTTCTTTAATAAAATGCCAAGCGGCAAATTACGTACAGACTACAGCTCTTCTGAATTCTCTATGTGAAGTAAACTTTATATATATATCTACTATCTACTATATATATATACTAATAAGAGCCCAAGAGAGTTAGGCCTATAATGGGTAGAAAAAATGGCGGTCAAGTTTTTTAATCAAATGAATGGCTCAGATTGATCAGATTTTAATTTTTTCTTAATATTTACTAATTTATCCTTAATGAATATGATTATCCGTTAACTTTTCCGTTAAATATTATCTTTTCCGTTAATTTCTGTTAGTTCACCGTTAACTTATTTATTGATTTCAATAAGAAAGGTCTTAAGTTCGAAGTTCGAACCCCATCCCAATCAAAGTTGGCATATTTAGTACTCTATTTTACTTTTATTAAATTAAATAATAATAATTTAGTAGTTTTTACAACAAAATATAATACATATGCATTTCGATCTTTAATTTAGAATTATATATCTACAATGTTTTTGTTCAAAATAATTATTCATTATCAATAAATTAAATAAGAGAAATAATTTCATTAGTTATATTGTCTTTATTTTTCTCCAATATAAAAATTCTTTACATTCAAATTCATCAATTGATTATATTCGTTACATTATCCATACAATGTATTTATTAAAAAAATATTCATTATCAATAAATTAATTAAGAGAAATAATTTTATTATATTATATTATCTTTATTTTTCTCCAATGTAAAAATTCTTTACATTCAAATTCATCAATTGATTATATTCACTACATTGTCTATTATCTTTTTTTGTGCACTATTTTTTTAATTAAATATCAAAGTTATAATACAAAATAATGTTATATATTTATTTACCAAGTATTTTATTCATACCATGAAAAAATTAAGAAAAATATAATTAATAAAGTCAATCATATTAATTAACTACGTGAGGAATTTGTTGACAAAGAGAGTATTCAAATCA